TCTACAGTTACTAGTTCTTAAAATAAATTTTCAACTATTTTCATTTAAAATTAAGTGGTCATTAATAGTGTATTTATCAAGTGGATTTTCTTTTCACAGTCAATTGGAGTTTGGTGATGAATCTTGTGATATAATAATATCAACGAAGAGTCTGCCAATATGTGAATCTTATTTTTTACTAGTTTTTAAAATAAGATTTCAAATATTTTCATTTAAAAAAATACAAATTTACGTGGTCATTTTAGTGTGTTTATGATACATATATGAATTTATGAAATAACCCCTCTAATTCTCACAACGAGCACATGTGATCGACTTCTTATAGGATAGACAGGAAGGTGGAGTCTCGAAAGAACATATTTGAACGTGCTTAGTTTTAACCTTTTTTACAAGTATAGGTTTTTCTTTAAAACCCCAAATTACATAAGGAACAAAAAAAGAAGGTATAGAAACCCCAATGGAAGATTACATTTAGTAAAACTCGAGATATGGGTGAAAGTGATAAAAGATACGGAGCATATTGGCCGACTCTTTTGATCATAAGATAAGTATACAAAAAACCTTATACTTGAAAATATGTAATGTCGTATATGATGATATCCATGACATGTTCTATATATATCAAGTATAAGGTATGAATATCAAAGTATGCAATTTTTAAAGTTTTCACTATATTGTTGCTGGTTGAGCTATACATAATACATCCCCACCCTATGTATTGCAATTAAGAGTATATTCATTGAGTCAATCGTTGTCTGAGTTTATATATATAGAGAACTATCTGTCTTTTTTTTTTTTTTTTTTGGTAAATAACTGCGGGTCTCCCAAAGGCTTCCTAGGCCCAAGGACTAATCCTACGAGGCTGGCAATTCCCCTATGTAAACCTGCCAGTGGCCGTGCCTCAAACCCTGGTGGCGGAAGTCACAGCTGTGACCCCTTTACCACTAGGCCACAAGGCCCGGTTAGAACTATCTGTCTTTAGTCACCGTGGTCGATCTGCTATATTGGAGTTTAAGTTGTGGGTTGAAAATAGATGATCTTTTTTTTTCCAGGAAAATGATTAGATTTGTCAGTCTTACAGACAATAGAACATCAAATGTTATATGAGTTTTTTTTTTTTTTTTTTTTTTTTTGTAAACCCATATGTTAGATGTTAAAGATTTTTGTTGTTGTTTTAGTCACGATTTTATTTACGCTTTTGATTTAATAATGGTTAAGGTAACACTATATTTCCATTTTTCAATCAATAATATGCATTATAATTATGGTACTAGTACAAATCACTAAGCTACGTACGTATAATTATATATTGTCTCTTCTTTTTTAGTATTCTTTTATATATATTCGTTCACATTAATTAAAAACAACAACGTAAGTACTTTAATTTACTTTTCTAAATAATTACTACTCTGTAGTTTTATATATATCTCTAATCGATAAACCAAAACACAAATAAACTTTTATCACATCCTATGAAACTAATGTAGCATGCATATGATTACTTTTGACATCAAAATTCAAATTCAATAGTCAAAATTTGCTTTTTGATTTACTGAAAATATGGATGTAAGCTTAGATAATTATATTATTTATGTAAAAAAATTATTCTATCGGTCCTGAACTTTCGAATCATTAAAAAAAAGATTATTATGTTTGATGATGTAATAAAAATGAATAATATATAGTGTATAAAGACGTGTTCTCGAATAAGATGAAATGGAGATTTAAAGCAAAGTTAAAGAAGCCGGAGGGGTCAACACATTTGCAATCAATACATGATGTTAGTTAGCCAGCCGGGTTTTCGATGTAATCGACTTTTAATAAGTCGGTTAGGAAATTACACGTCAAATCATATACTCCCCTATTGTTTTGTTTTTTTAAGGCTCGAGTATTTATTTTATTTAATGAAATGGTCCTATATATTATATAATCATTTTGAGCAAAAAAAACATGAAATATTTCACCTACATGTCAACGAAACATTATAGTTTCCCAAGATTATATTGTAAATCACATTTATTAGACGGCACGAGTCGTTTGCCAAATCTCCCAACATCCACATTCGTAGCCATTTTAACCTATAAGAGATGAAACCCTTTTTTTCTATTCCCACTCGGTTTATTGTTTATATACATATGACGAATTAAAGTAATTAATCTGTTAACTATATTCAGGACACGAACTGCTAACCATCATCATGTAACAACGTTTGTTTAATCAACCTTAATAATTTTTCTACATATAATACAAATTTCAATAAAAATTAATAGTAAAACTGAGACAACACATTAATTACTGCAGGGAAACAAAATAGGAGTATTCATTGACGTAATTTCTTCATATGACGAATTATTATCAGATATATGATAATTTGACAACCTTTTTTTACATACTTTTTTTACATACTCCTATATGATAATTAAATTTGACAACTATTATCAGAATATTATCAGTTTATCATTCAATGATTCTTGTTTAAAATTTTGATATATATATAGGATGATCGACATGTACATCACCGATTAACGTCAAATATATTTCATCTTTTATACCAATCTTGATAAAATTGAAAACCACACGTAAGACGAGAACGTATGGGCATGATTTCCTCGTAAATAATGTTTTGATTGATTGACACTTAACAAAATTAGAACTAGTTTTCACAAATTGATATTAAGATAATGTGGATTCATATTAAGAAAATAATAAGTACGATCATATTCGTTTGGTTGACAAAAAGACGCATGTGATAAAAATTTGGCCCCACACACATTGAATTTATAAACTGTTTCTGATTGGCACGAAAACTATATATGGTGCCTCCTTATCCTTTTTTTTTCCCTTATAATCAATTTTCGAATATATTTGAAACAAATAAATGACACCAGTGCCATAGTAACAAACAAATCTTCTTTATGAGAAAAACAAACAAATTTTTTGTATATATTGATGCTTAACCGGTTAGAAAAACGTGGTGAGACAAGTAGGGTGTTAGGTTAAGAAAACAAATCGCTTTCTAGTCAATTATAAATTGTAATATATCGGTTCGAGAGATTTACAAACAAATGTTTTTGTATAAATTTTAATGTTGGTTATAGAAACAAATTAATGTTTGCATATGGTACATGCAAAGGAAGGAAACAAGGCTCAATACAACAAAATCTCTAATTAATGGAAGAGAAGACAAATGACTCAACGAGTCTACGTACTAGCGTACGTAATACCTTGAGATTCGAATCAATAATAATAGTAAATAAAAGAAAGAAAAAGCAAAATATCCGTTAAATATGGAAATAGGAGAAGAAGATCGGAGTATCTATGAGTTTCGAGCTCCCAACTAGTAACTACAATCTGCCGCTATAATTTGATGGAGATTGATTAACAAAAAACCACATTGTTGTTGGCAAGTGTGATCGCGTACGGGAATTCTTATATATTAAATAGCAGATGTACGTAAATGTTTTACACCACATATTATACCAACATCTTTGAGCAAATTTTTTGTTCTTCTAACGATGATAAACTCTATTTTTCTTGCCTTAAATATAGACGGTCATGCCGAAAATCTAGAGAGCAAACATAAGTGAGTGTCAGAAAATGTGTCTCTTATATATTAAAACAGAATCTACGAAACAATGTTGTGATCGATGGAACCTTTAGAGTAACGTACAGTAGGAGAAAACTAACTAAAATCTTTAGAGAGTTACATTTTAGTAACCTACTTTAACTAATATATTATCGAATGCATATATTATATTATATAGTTAAACCTTTATATACTAGGAAAGAAACATTCGAGAAAATAACTTCCATTTTGTAAGAATTTACATGCCATGATGACTTTACTAGCAATTTATTTTCCTTTTCTTTTTTGAAAATGATAATAATAACTGTAAATTCATTAAATATTTTGATAATGATAATAATAACTGTAAAATCATGTATCTCAATTTATGATATTTCGAGTCTTCGACGCTTATTTTTTCTATCAAGCAAATCAAATTTTATTATTTGTATATACAAAAGTACTATATGTACAAATTGGGAGGATATTTTGTTACCAACAAAAAAATACAATAAATACAAATTGGGAGGGGTGGGCAACTGGCAAGTGGGCGCATATTAGATGAATGGGCCTTTTTGGACTTAGATCCAACAATAACTATCCAACATGCACGGTGCACCCGTATTGTCCAATTTCTTACTCGTTTTTACTTTTCTGCTTGCTCTTTCAATTAATACACAATTTATGTATGTATATACATTATCCACTCACATATAAAGTAGTAGATACACGAACTTTCGTTTTCTTATAAAAGTAAAACGAAAAATAGACTAGCATAGCCATTTATAATAACTTTTTTTTATTCTCTTTTTTTTTGTGTGGTAATAATACCTTATTTTACATAAATACTTTTCAGATCAAATATACACATTACCATGTTAAGGAATAATGTTTAAATTCACGGATTCTCATATTATTATTCATGTTAAAGATTAATGATAAAGTTCACGGATTCTCATATTACTCATGTTACAAAATAATATTAAAATTCACGGATCTTGAACTCAAAACTAATTTGTATCACATAGTTTAGTTTGTATCCATTATATAATTGTATGTCTTATTTTATTTTAGATGTGTGATTCCTAACATGTCTTTTGAAAACAAAAAAACAGTTCATTTTGATGTCAAAAAAAAAAAGTTTCTACTCGGTGATATCCAGTTTTTTTAGTTTACTTCGGTTTGCCAAACAAAAAAAAATATTGGTCATTAGTTTGAAATTATGATAAACCAAGAGATATATGAAGTAATAAACCCAATGAATCAAAATGCGAGCGAGACCACAAAATATCTAAGAACAAATGAACATTTTTTAATCAATATGGGCTAAGATAAGGCCCATAAATGTCAAACCCTCTGTTTGCTTCAGACAGCTTTGAAGCTTCGTTTGTCAGAACACGTGGCACTTCCTTCAGCACCTCTGTGTCAAAGCACCGTGAGAGACCATGGCGACGCGTGTGACCAGACGGCGTTTAAACCCGTCCTCCAAAATCTCATTCTTCTTCTTCTTCTCCGCCGCCGTCATTATAGTATCTCTACTCGATCTCGTCTTGTCGAAGCACAAGAGATTGAATAACACATGGAAGAAACAAAGAGAAGTTCTTTGGGTGCGCGAAAGAAACTCAAGAGGAAGAAGAAGAACAGTAGACTTATGAGAAGTATTGTCACCTACCTCAAATCTGATGCATACTTGTTCGCTCCTCTGTTTTCCAACTTTCCACCGCTCACGACGGAGATAAATACGCCTCCGCCGTCGAATTCCAAACCATCGACTTTGGACGACATCTCCATGGCAGGTAATGTTATGACTCGTGCTCTTTTTACGCTCATCTGTTGGTTGATCAAAGGGTTTGAATTTTGCTAATTTTGGACATTAGGGTTTGAGTCATTGGGGATTGAGAGGGTTATTAAGAAGAAGAGAAGAATGTCTGAGAAACTTGAGGAATATCTAAAATCTGATTGTTTTATGTACGCACCGATGATCTCTTCGCCTCCAAAGCTTGGTTCTTCGGTTAAAGGTGAGAGCTTTGTACTCTATAAGCATCTTCTCTCTGTGATTAGCTTTGTAGTTAGGTGGATTTAGCTACGTTGAGTTAGACTATCTTAGATTCTGCATTTGGGACTAAGATAGTTTTTGAAGCAGAGAAAATGCAGATTACGAATTTGGTTACGATGGAAGTATCAACGACGAGTACTACAACCATGAAGGAAGATAACAACGACTGTAGGAATCTCCGGTCAGATATTGTAGAACAGACATTGCATAGCGGAAGAATCAACTCTCCAAAACGAGCACAGGTTACCTTAGAAGGACAACGAACTGGACTAAGCCGTGAAACCGATCTTTCACCAGCCTTTTCCTCTCTACTAGGTATGTTAATGGATTACCCCAATCATGTTATGGAAATGAAATTTGTTAAAAGGTTCTTAAACATCGGATTACTAAGTAGGTAGCACAAGTCTAATCTTCCACCAGTGAGATGTTGATAAGCATATATGTAAGTAGTATAAATAGGACTGGGTGGGGTTAGTGTTAAGAGTCTTTCACTAGTTGGGAGTCCTTTGTGACTTTGGGAGAGATTAGGGGTTGCAAAACAAACCCTCGATCTTGAATCCTATCAGATGTCTAGCTGCAAATTTCATGGAAGTGACGTAGCGGGAGCTTCTAGTGATATAGATGCTAGGTTATTAGTTTAGTCTGAAAATGTGATATGTTCTGAATACAGAGCCTCTACCTTCTATACGCATAGACATGGATAAGAGTTGTGTGTCTCTCTCCAAAATTTGTTCAAGTTTAGATAAGGCTTTGTGAAATTTGTTGACTTGCTTGGGGTCGACAAACAACAAATGTTACTGTTCTGTTATAAGTTATAACTGGTGAGAGATGTAAAATACAATAATGGTTTTTAATGGTTATGTGACAGGGGAAAAGATGGTGAAGCCAGATCAAAGAAGAGTTGCAATTGAGTGAAGATAGTAATGTAGACATAGTAGACACAATGTAATCATTGTAAAATACAAATTAATTAGATTACAATAATTATAGTAGCTAGCTCTGAAAGAAGAAGTTTTCTTGTTGATAAGCTTGAAGGAAGTGATGTATGAATGAGGATGACAAAGATGTGTGTCTGTCTAAACAATTGCCATGTTAGCTGTCTGTTTGATGAGTTGTTGTATGTCAAATAAACTGTTACAATTCAGCAATATCAGCCTTCTTGCTCACTCACCATTCAAAGAGGTTTCATTGAAAAACGAATCACTTAAATTTGTATAACTAATCACTTTTTACTATCAATCAGATTCTAAGTGGTACTTAGATTATGAATAATGAAGACTGGTTTATTTCTTGAAAGTAATTTGTTGCAGAGAAATTGTAATGTGGAAAGAGGAGTTACACAAAATTGATTGTGAAAAATGGTGAAAATGACTGAAGCTAGAGAGAGTAGAAGAAGGGGTTAAAGGTAGTAATCGTGTGCACGTGAGGTGTATTCAATGTCTGAGTCCCACATTGCAGACCCTTCCCATCTGTCAACTCTACACACGCATGCAAGAAAGTTTTATTTTCTATCTATGCATTGCGTGTAGTATATAAGATAACATTATTCATTATTGCAATCGAAAATCAAAGAGACATCATATCTGTCAATGTTACCAAGTCCCTAGTCTAGTTTCGAAATAATGTGAAGCTAGTGTAGGAATTTGATAAGATAGGATGATTATGAGATATCTCTATATTGTTGTGTGATATGTCTATTATATGACACAATCGTATTGGAGCATGCACATGAGTCCCCGAGAAAAACGGAGATTATTGTATTGGGGACTAGATATATAGACGTGGACATAGCACACGTGTACACTCACAGAATCGTAATGTCATAATTATTTTTTGTAATTATCAATATGAATGTGAGAAAGAGAAAGAGATCGATCGAGGAAACAACTCAGCCAAGAAAAAGACGTAATATGTCTTTTTATTTGTCAAAGAGACATCCATGCATGGGCTTCACTCACCCTCTCTTTTCTTTATAAATATATGGTCGAAATGTATATATTATTCATATGTTAATTCTTTTTTTTTTTTTTCATATGTTAGTTATTTCTATGCATCTACGTCTATTGTTGATCTAGTTCACCCAAATTAATTCATATGTTTAAAAAATTTGCGTTTTAACCGTGGCGTTGTTTTTTTTCCTATCTTGAATCGGATATATGGGTTCGTCGAAAACTCGCTAATTTTGAGAATGTGAGGAGTTCTTGGTAAAGAGTTTTCCGCAAATCCACCACGGAACAAATTTCCATCATGAAACCTAACTGACCAAGTGGCTTAATCATAGTGTGTTGTTGCACACGATGGAATAGAACTTAAATTCTTTTACCAAAAAAAAAAAAAAGAATAGAACTTAAATTGACTATAATGAGTTTACGTTAGAATCAATACTTCTGAGCTACCACATGGGGATTAACAATGACATTGATTATTATAGAGAGGCCCGACTTCCTTAATTATAAGATGATAAGATCGATATTTGGACTTAATCGTAGCTCTTTTTCTTTCTTAATAATTGTGATTAAGACCATGTTTGAAAATTGTTTACAACATAATGCGAACGATTGATGTATTAATTAATGTATCCACTTGTTCCATAACTAATGAGAGCCTAAATTATGTATATGGTCTCCCTTCGGTTTCATAAATTATCACTAGACTTCGTACATTGAAGAAACGAAATTGAAGTTTTTATTGGTTACGGGAATAAATCCAAATTAAACTAATTGCATTATTCTTCGTTGTTATCCGCTAGTCGCTATGACTAGTGCTGTTCTACAGTCTCTACTATACGTACGACATAATTAATTATTAGAAGTGAAAGAAATAAACCCATACGACGTAATTTGTTGTTGAAATAGTAATCATCAATAATGTGGCAAAATTTTGTAAGTATTAGAATTATTTGTTGGTTGGCCTGTGGAGGCGAAGCTTGGAACGTGGACCGAATTATAGTCTTCCGAATTTGCTATCTACTTGTCTTATGGATGGGTTTTGGTCAATACGGTTGCGATTTTTGTCGTATATGCATGACCAATTAATTACCCATTAATTATTTCGTGTATTATTTGATCAACCGATCGAGCAACAACAATTTATACAATCAGCATTCACATGTTTTCAAGACACAACATCATGTAGCTACTCCTTCGATACTGTAGTTTTTAAATTTGATGAGACTTTTTGTTTTAGGCAGCTATAGCTTTTAGTATTTGTTATGAATCGTGTCAAGCTAATTTTTAAGATTGTGAGTAAGTTTTTGATAAAGGAAAAAAAAAAAAATGTTACAAGGAAGACACAAACATCATTTCACATGCATATTTGAATTTTTTGTTGAAAATATAATTTTAAATTGAGACATGATCAACGAATTCCTATTATAACTGAACCTAGCTAATCAGCAAAGCTATCAATGTATATGGATTTCCATATTATAAAAATCAATACTTATATTTAGTTGATCTAATATAATTGTCTGTTAATATAACATATGAGTTCCTTTTAAAATAGTTATAGCATACATATATAATGGACTAATTTACATGTGAACAAAATCGATTTTGTTCATAATTTATACGTTTTGGTCAGTATGTGGTCCAACGGAAGAAAATAAAAGTTGTCCTTTTTTTTTTGAGCAACCAATAAAAGTTGTCCTTTACATACCATTTTACAAAAAAAAAATAAACAATTTGGTTCACAAGAAATTGTTATCTACCTCTCAAAATATATAGAGCGATCAAATTCATAGACAAATCACTCTATCATATCCGCTGCAACGTAACCAGTCAAAAGTTTATACTTACTACCGTATAAATCCAAAGCTAATATCCATCACACGTGTGCATACGTGGATTGTTCCTATATCAAGCGTGAGAGAATTATTCATATTTCGTCCAACTTATCTATAAAAACACATAGTCGCTCTTGTTCTTTAATCCACATATCATCACAAACTCTCTCTCTCTCTTTCTTTCTCTCTTTAGCTTTTGTTAATATATCGTACAAGTTCGAAGAAGACCGTTCGTGTGCAAAAGGATGAGGTGTAGAGCACTAAACATTCGGAGAAGAAAGAGAGTAATGGTTAATGTGAGCTCAAGGAAGCTCATGACCCGTCTCCGGCGAATGGTTGCTCCGGAAACGAGTTTTTCCGGCGAGGTTGACGGTGCCACACTATATCGGCTCACGGCTGATCACATTTTCCTACTTCAAGCAAAAATCCAACTTCTTCGTCGTATTTCTTCTGTTTGTGGTCTCTAGATCGAAGATACACATGGCCAAAAAAAGACGAAGCAATGGTATAATTTATGGATAAAACGTCTGTTTTCTCTATATATATTCTCTTAAGCAATCATCTTATAAGTACGTCGTAATGCCGACGCTATAATTTGAACGTATTTATTTGAATTTATGTTTGTGATGTATTTAATTGTGAACAGTTTTTAATTTTACATGCATGCAGCTTTGACCGCGTTTATATATAGCTTTGACACACGAATTCTTATATACGATACGCCTACGTTTTTTAGGTATATAAATATCACAATAACAAAAAAGAAAGTATCTAATTTGACTTGACTTGTCTAATTACGAGTTAGGATTGACCTAAGTATATGGTAAGTCTGTGTATGACATATGCGCGGTCCATGCATGATGCATATGAAACTTCTGCCATGTTATATCGCTCGCTCTCGGAAGAGAAAAACTAGAGTGACAGATTCAGAGATAAAATGATCCCCAAAAATATATGGCATCAATCGATAACCCAATAATTAGGGTGAACGCAAGGCCAATATCCTATATTTTTGTTTGGTATTCATGCATGATTAGCTCAACTCAACGATATATCATCAACACTTTAATCATGATTTGTATCCGCAATCAACCGAATATTCGGAAAAATATTTGATCCGTTATATAAAAGATGTAAAAAAAAAGTTAGATATAGAAAAAGTAAAAATTTAACAAAAAAAAATTAGAATAATTTATAGATTCCTATTTTCTTAATTTACGGTTCTTTTCTTGTTAATTTGTTCGTTTTAACAATTTTATAGGATGAATACAAATTCATAATATATATGTATACGAATTTTATCTAAGTATCTATATATATATCAAAACGTAGCATAAATCTGTCTCTTAAAATTAAAACTATCCAAAATTTTCTAATCGAATTGAAGTGGACAACTGATCAAATCAAATCTTTATTTTTTTCCATTAGCTTATTATATACGTATATACATAAAGATAAGACTGCGACAATGGACTGTGTTTATTTTGGGAATACTCAGAAAATAACTCAATATTGTTTATTTAAATAATCGATCTGATGCATTAAAAAAGTAACTAATCTTTGGTTGATCACTATTTAACCTTCAACTAGATCTTGACCCGCACATACGTGCGGGGTTTCATATTTTTTACAAAAATTTAACAAATTTTAATTCAATATAGATTATTTCGTTGTTTCTATGATATATATTTTAGTGTATTAGATCTGGATTCACACCTACGTGCAGATATATTTTTATAGAAATTGTTATATAGATTTTTAAAATATAAAATATTTTGTTGTGTTAGTGAACTTTATAATAGAATAAATATTATAAAATTAGAGTAATGAACGAAATTCAGTTGCGTTAGTGCATAGTTATATTTTAAGATCCTGACCTACACGTACGTGCGAAATTATATTTAAGATATAATTTAGTTGCAAAAGTTAAATGATGTTACTTTTTTTATTTTTTAAACTAATCAAAATATTTCTAATAGTTTGATTACATGTGTTAAATAGGATATAGATTCGGTTTGAGTTTGGTTATTTCATGTATATTAGCTAGGCGTAACTATTTTGGAACGGGAAACCTATCCCGTCTTGTATATGTCATATATTCTTAGTCCCATAACCCGTATCGTATACGTGAAATAAAAAATATGACGGTCCAGTTTCCGGCATAAAATAGAATATGTGTAACTGAAAACGTACGTACAGTATGTAAACAAATTTATTTTATATAGTGCTCATAACCCGAACTCATACCAGTTGGGTATTTAGTTTGATTTTTAATTTATGTTTCCCTGCTATCCCGTCTCGTAATTCCTATTCTCATTTCATTCCATTCAAATCATGTTCCAAATTCTTGTTTGCTTACTTTTAAATACCATACAATACATACTGTGAGTTTTGCAGATTAATATATATGCTGCTAAAGTTACAAATATATGTTAACAAATTTATTAATGTTTCTTTCCTTAGCTAAATTTTGCATATTCTTCTTTTTATTGTTTAATCATAATTAATTTGAATTTTGGACTAAAAATAAAAATTTGAAATATATACACTCTAGATAATTTGTTGTTTAGACTAAAAATAGCATAAAAATAAGGGAGACTCACAAAAATGCCCCTTTTTCAATACCCCTTTTCAAAAATGCCCCCTTTGGCTGTCCATTTTTAAAAATACCCCTTTTTATGTACAAAATGACTAAATTACCCTTCTTTTAATAAAATATATCACAAATATATAAGGAAATATAACAAAATTAGGTCTACAAAATACAAAATATTTTTTGGCGGGAAAATTGATCCCGCAATTTTTCCCGCCAAAACAATTGTAAAACCTTGTAAAAAACCTTTAAAATACCTTGTAAAATTTTCCCGTAAAATTTTTCCCGCCAAAAATTTTTTTTTGCGGGAAAAGTGATTCCGCAATTTTTTTGGCGTTAAATTTTTGGCGGGAAAATTTTTCCCGCCAAAAATTTACAAGGTATTTTAAAGGTTTTTTACAAGGTATTTATAAGGTTTTACAATGTATTTTAAAAGGTTTTACAACGTATTTACAAGATATTATAAGATTTTACAAGCTATTTTATAAGGTTTTTACAAGTTATAAGGTTTTACAAGTTTTTTATAAGGTTTTACAAGTTATAAATACCTTATAAAACCTAATAAGTACCTTGTAAAACCTTTTAAAATACATTGTAAAACCTTACAAAACACTTGTAAAAAACCTTTAAAATACCTTGTAAATTTTTCCCGCCAAAAATTTTCCCGCCAAAAAAAAAAATTGCGGAATCACTTTTCCCGCAAAAAAAAATTTTTGGCGGGAAAATTTTTTGGCGGGAAAAATTTTACGGGAAAATTTTACAAGGTATTTTAAAGGTTTTTTACAAGTGTTTTGGCGAGAAAATTGCGGTATCACTTTTCCCGCCAAAAAATATTTTGTATTTTGTGGACCTAATTTTGTTTCAAATAAGGGTAAAATGGTCATTAAAAATTAAAAGAGGGCAAACTTAAAAATGGACTCTCAAAGGGGGCATTTTTGAAAAGGGGTATTGAAAAAGGGGCATTTTTAACAATTTCTCTAAAAATAATCTAAATATTTGTAATATATACAATCTATTGTTTAGATATTTATCAAACTTGCTCTAAACGAAGGCTATAATGATAATTACTTTAAATTTATTATTATTTGAGTTTATTTCGTAGTAAATATAAATAGTTGTTAATATCTAATATCGTATTTTAGAAATTATGAAATAAATTTTGTTTTATATTTTAAAATTTGTGAAAATATTATAACAAAACTGAATCTTAAAATATTTGTATTTAATTTTCTTATAAAATTTTAAATTCAATCTTAAAGTCCTCCATTGATAAATCTTTTAAACGATACTGTTTTAATTTTGAATTAAAATGATATTATTTTTCTTTTTATTTTTGATATAGAATAATCTATTACGATTGGTTTAGATAAAATCTTAGTTGGATATCAAATCTCAGTTTTTCAATTCTCATTGGTTAACAATTTTTTAAAAATTAATTTCAATTTTCGTTTATAATTAATAGGATAGAAAAAAGTTAGTTTAATTTTTTGGAAATTAATAATTATTTAAAAGAATTAAACTATTTTTAATTTAAATATATTAATTTTGTGATTACTATTGTACCCTTAATGAAGTTATTTAAAAACACTAAAAACTAATGGCAATCTTTGTAATATCTTACACTTTATAAGGTTATTTAAGTTAGAATGATTCCCAATTAATAGTATAGATTAGTAAGTGTTTTGGAGCGCAATTTCAACAAAAAAAATATTATTTATTTAATATTTTAAAAATTGTTGTTTTACTAGATGATACACAATTTTATAAAATCGCACAATTTCGTGAAAAGTGCGTAATTTTTTTTTTTTTCAATCTCCACGAAGTTCATTTGTGTTTCTTATTTACCACTTTCCCATTAAAATCTACGTAAGTAACTCTTTTAGTCTTTTATTTAATAAGATATGATATTTAATATTTTTATAAGAAAATGTACGAGAGATTCCAACAATTAATTAATTGTAGTGCACGAGTGTCGTATCCTAATTCCTAAACCTGGATCGAAGTCTTCGCCTTCAATATAAAATACTCTATATTATTCTTATGTTATTTTAGTAATAAACGAAAGATGTTTTTCATTATTTTTTCTTATAATTTTGAAAATAAAAAGGAAAAGACGAACTCACCAAACTGTTGCTTTTGGTGTAATGTATTCAAAGTCAAAGACACATTTAATGATTAACTTTCTTGCCACATGCTCTTACGCTTCATGACTTGTATATCAAAATTAAGAGAAATGGGGTAGGTGAATACTACAAATGTTGCATTTTTTTTTTATCATTAGTAACTATAATTGCCAATGCAAAAGATATACACAAATTTCCTTTGATATACAAATCACTAACTATTAAATTATTTTTGTTACTTACATCAAACTGACCATTCAAATATTTGCTTCAAAAGAGTTGTTCTACTTGATTTTAAATGGACAACAAGAGATCCTACCATTAGAATCCTACCATTACATAGAAAGGAGGAAGCAGAGTGGGCTGAAAAATGAGAGTGAAGTAGGCCTTCTCAAGAGCATTACGGGCCCCATACACGTGTCTACGTCCACTTGTTAATCTGCCGAGGATGCTATATACATAATTCCCGAATCGTGAGCTCGTCTACAATTACATTACACATAATATACCAAAATCATGTTATCGTCGTATAATAACATAGGTTCAAATTTGATAGTACGTGTGTATAATTTATTAAGTTGTATATATAAGTAAACATTAGTAATCATCGAATTCAATCAATATTTTTTTGTTGAAAAGAATTGGATCAATATTAAGCTCTATACAGTATCTTCGTACTGCGAGAGCGTAAAACAACAATTGGATATTTAGGATGGGTAGAAATAGAATATTAGATATCTTTCACACACCATGAATAAGATGATCGATCTAAAGTGGTTGAAGTCAATTGATCAATATAATAAGAACAAACGTTCATCGAGGCCATGTGAAAAAATCGACACGTACTTCAATTGAATCTTTTTCTTTTCCCGGAGAAATTATAGTTACACTGCATGAAAGTCTTGAGCGTTCACCACATTTTCCGGACTCATGCTATTTTTTTCTATGCTTATCCGTAAAACCATGGTTCAACTCGTGGTAAAACTCTTAAATAATTCATTTAAAAGTTGTACACAGTACTCTTATCAAAAGATTTTCGTGAAGTGATCATGAACGTTAACGTACGTTTTAAAATTGTTTTTTTTGTTCTTTCTAATAATTATTGGGAGAACCGGAGATCGACCGAGATCGACGGTTGAGATGATCGCCCAAGATTATGGAAATCATGAAGGATCTAGAAGTTATCTTATCTTAAGTTTAGGAAGTTTAACATTATCTCTAAATATATTATTTACATTTATATTTATCTTAGATTAGGAAATCTCATCTCTATATAAGAGAATGTATCTTGTACAATTATTCTTATGAGAGTCTATTATAATTCTTCCTAAACACTTTTGTGTTCTTTACTCTCATCAATTTATCAATAATTCTACGTACCAATTGCTCTTGTTTCCTAAGTTGTTGAAATTTGTCAAATCATACAACTAAGAAAGTCCATATAATAGAAACAAATGTTGGATCAACCTACCGTTTTATGGGTTTATGAATAGAGAATAAAGATAAGGAAAACGGTTTTAAGTATAAAAATGGACCAAAATAATTGAAGCTTAAATGATGATGAGTATAAATGGTATTTAGGGTTGGAGAGAAAGTGGGGTATGTTGAACCATGTGCGTCCATGTGCTCTGTCTTTCTCTTCTAGCCCCACTCTTAATTTCACTTCTTTTCCTTTGATCCAATAAATGCCTCCACACTCTCATTTCTTCTATTAATTCTCTTCTTCAATCTAATCTCTCTCCCTCTCTCTCTCTCACTTCTTTCTAGGGTTTAAGTTTCAGACACAATCGAGCTACTTGGATATCCAATAACGGAAACAAGCGTAAGGTAAAGTATTTATTGATTTCATTAACGTCACTTTTCTACCCAATCTCCTTCTTCAGCTACCGTTTGTATCAAAAGTGTACTCTAAGGACATGTTTTACGACGAAGCCATGTGCGATTATATATATATCTTCTAAAATGTGGATGAAAATAACAAACACTGAGTATAGAATCTAACGTTTATTTTCAGATAATGCTATTTTCCTAAAATTCATTTGTATTTATTTTATTAGGATGAACACGTACAACATGGTGAAGCAAAGATTTATCAAGAAATGGATAAATACTCTACACATGTTAGATTCTTCTATTGAACATCCTTTGAACGTAACCGAGAGGAAAAATGCGATAAGACTATCATCGGACTTAGCCATCGCAGCCGCTAGAAGCGGCGCTACCGTATGGAGCCGCGCTCTCATCTCTAGGAGCGGAAACAAGACAACAAACAAACCAATGGCTCGTAGAATACTAAAAAAAGCTCGAAATCGGATAAAGAACCGTTGTAGCACTCTTAGAAGAAATGGCAATTTCACGGCGAAAGTTGGGGTGAGAAAACGTACGGAGTTGCTTAAGAGTCTTGTACCGGGAGGCGAGTTAATAGACGATAAAGATTATTTGATAAGAGAGACACTTGATTACATTGTCTATCTCCGAGCGCAAGTAGACGTCATGCGAACCGTCGCAGCCGTCGATTTAGTCACCGGAAACTTAACCAACGATCGTAGGAACAAATAAATGTGCATGCATTTCTGAACTCTTGTGCATATGAAGTAGCTAATGGTTTAATTGCAAGTCCATGTACATATATAGGATGACACTCTTATCGTATAACAAATTTCTAATGAATTATCAGAGTAATGCTGGTGTAAATTTATGGGTTAATTTCGTATTATAAATTTAAAGAGCACTTGTATATTAATAGAGATGTAGCATTTCATTATATATGCAGTATATACTGATGTGAATTTAGATTAATTAAGTAATGTTTTTGTGATACAATTAAATTTATCAGAAATGTTTCTTCTAATATGTTTCTCGTACGTTTGTATTCATTACAATAGATTATTAATTGACTATAAACGAAACTCTTTTTTTGTGAAGAAACAAACTCTTATTTTTTTGGTCTAACAAAAGAAAAGTAGTAACTCATACCGTCGTCATACGCTACAAGTAGGGAGGAAAAAAAAAAAACGCTACAAGTACGCAGAAATCTATAATCGTATTGAACGTATGAATGTTATTGTTATACCAACTGTAATTGATTTCTAAAGTGCAGAATATGTAACTTAATAATAGTTTATATAGTGAATTTAAATTCGATAGAATGCTCTTTTTTTTTTTTTTTTTTTTTAGAATGTGCAAAATCATTGGATTTAGAATGGGCATTTGATGAGTTGAATTTGGGCCTAAATGTAAAGCGCAAGGATCACTAATTTGTTGCTATAAGATTTGGGGTTATGATGCTTTGGTATTGAAAAAAAGAAAAAACAGTTTAGGTTGGCGGCACAAGTGTACTCGAGTGATTTCGGATCGGCTAGTTAGATTCATTGACTCTAAATAAATTGTTATACATAAAAGTGATGACATCTTGCTATGCTTAACTTAGCACTAATCTTTCAACTTGTTAATAGCCTTTTAAAAATTAAATTATAAGCTATATTCTCTTTCTGTCGGTACACACATGAAAATCTCTTGGCAGTTGGCATTTATTTAAAGTGAGAGTCACATGGTCAAATGATAACATCTTTAATTAGCCATCTTTGTTTTGATAAACAGACGATTTTGATATTGAAAAAGAAACTTAAAGCCACTAAGAAATGATTATTAAGAGAAATTCCTAAAAATGGCCCTAAAACAAGTTTTATTGACAATAATAGCACACACTCCATAAACTTCCAAAAATAGCAGTAGTTAACTTACTATTAGTGTTTTGGTTCTAAAAATTTTATCACTAACTTTTTTTTTTCAATAATACCACAACTTTATATAAAAGCTATTCAACAAAATAAATTAGAAATAAATTTAAAATATTATATTTGGGTTCTCTATTTCCAATTTAGGGTATATCTTTCTACCATTTAAAAGAGATTTTGATTCATTTTAATATTAGTTTATGGTATTATATTTGGGTTCCCTATTTCCAATTTAGGGTATATATTTTCACCATTTAAAAGAGATTTTTATTTAAATATTAGTTTATGGTATTATATTTGGGTTCCCTATTTCCAAATTAGGGTATATATTTCCACTATTTAAAAACAATTTTGATTCAATTTAATATTAGATTAGTGTTTGCTCTCTTTTTTATTTTCTATCTTATATTTTCATTAAGTTTAATTGAAGTTTATGGTGCTATTTGTGGAACTTTTCAAATGATGTGCTATTTTTGGAAAAAACAACTTTTTTGGGGCTATTTGTGTCAATCTCCCGATTATTAATTAAGAAAGTTTGTAGCTAACAAATGATTAATTAGTTAAAATATCTTTGATTAAAAAGTAGAAGAGTTATTTGAACCATATACTATAACTTGTCTTCTTCCTTTTCTTGCGAAAGCTAAGAGCCTAAGACCCATTGCATGCTTGTTCATGATTATGCCTCTTATGACCTTATCTATCTATACAATGTCGTTATTCTGATTGATAACTACATTTGCACTTTTAGATCTATGAGATCTATGATCTTTCCAATGTAACTAGTTTAAATCACTTAGCATTCAATATATGAATATTAGTTCTTCTACAATCAGATCAATGTAGGATATTAGTTATAGTCCAGTTTTGTGTTTTCCAAAACATCTTAATTTTGTTGAAGACCAAATCTTTTTCAATTTCTCAATTAAATACGTGTTAGAATTTTTGGGATAGAAATCCAGCTATAAATCACTTGTAAATGAGTGAAAAGTGGTAAGAGGCCCAAAATATTATATTTAAATATATGTTGTTGTTGTGTGCTTAGCTTGAACCTATGGTTTCAATTTAAAGATAGATGAAAAAGAGATGCAAGAGGGTCCAATCCATTGTTGTCAATAATTTTGCTTCTATAATGGTTAGCAAGTTAGCATTTATGTATATGCATTTCCTCTATGATAAATCAATATAGTTATTATGGTTAACTCAATTCACATCACATCTAATCGTTTAATCTTTTCCAACAACAACACATAAAAGGTATTTTCAAGTAAGCATTGCATATCTCTTTAATAATGATGTAGTTAGACTTCTCATTGTTTTTGATATTTTTGTATCTGAACCAAAACATAGTACTGCACCAGAGTTATCCATATTTTATTTGCTTAATTAACTACTATATTTTTTAATCGGGAAGCAAAAAACTAATAAAATCCGACGTTTGGATTTCATGCTTTGACGTGAAATAATGAAATCCATTTTCGTTTTGTTATTAAAATAGTTGAATAAAACTGGCGATTTTGCAGAACTTTTTTTCTTGAATGGCTTAATACTATTATGCAATACCATGAGTACTAAGTTACTAATCGACCAATCAAAATAAAAAGTATTACTAATGAGTAATGATAAAACGACATTATTACAGAAACCTAATTCCCATTTTGATAGAAAGTTGAGATTAACCCCTACCCCTCCATATCCTTTTAGATATTAAAAAGAAAATGTGTCTAACGATAATCACTTTGATCATGGCCCAAATCATTCCCACCCATGGAAATGATGCTCCCCATCAAACCTTTTTTGAAAATAATAATAAGGTAGATTCCCACACCAGAATTATAATAGAAATTAATTAATCGTTTCCTCTTTCATACCATAACATAAATATATGATCAATCAACAAATTCTCAAAGTCATGCACAATCTTTGATTCGAAAAAAAAAAACAGTATGGAACTATCATTAGCATTAACATCAACAGACCATAATCCATCGCCTTCAGAGGCACATCCAGACACTATGGACTTTCTGTCTCGAGAATGGTGTAATTTCGCTGTTCAATCACTTCATCCCGACCCTATCCTCTGCGATCGCTCCATTGTTCCCATCGAGACATCTATCGCCAAGTTTCAAGGCGACTCGAGTCCTGTTTCTTGTGCTGTAAGTAATCAGATATTTTTTTGTTTATAAATGATTATTTCTTCAATCTTTGGTGGTTAGTGTTTGATGATTGTGAAAGTAGATGATGGATAAAAGTATGAAGATGGACGATCCAGATTTTAAGCCCTCGATGCCTTCGTGGAAAACCAATGATGTCAAGGTAAAACATATTTTGGTTAAAAATATAGTTTCTTTTTACCAAAATCAGAGTCACAGTTAGAGTTTAGGACAGGTTAAATTAGGGTTTCTTTCATATAATTTACCCAAAAAAAGCAGGCTAAAAAAACATTATAATATCATAGGCATTCATAGTTTTCAACATATAATTCAATTATTCCTCATTTTTATGTTGTCTAGGTTTATGTGATGCACATTCTGATGAATATTTGGTATATGATTTAAATTGTAATACCACAACATCTTGGAATTGTAGAAATTGAAAAAAATTGTTACATAATAGAATGCCATATATAAATTAAGTGAAGAAAGGTTTAGAGATTAATAATGATAATATAATTTGTTGAATGATGTGAACAGTCATGGATATGGATGCAACAAGCAATGCATCCGGAATTGAGCTACGAAGGCTTTTTCCGCAAGAAACTTGTAAAACCCTTTTGACCTTTTCGTTTGGTTTTGATTTATCAATTCAAAAATATTGGTTTTCTAAATCAAAACAATAATGGTTTTGTAGAAACTTCCATGGAAGATTACGCCGTCGATAAAGAAATGGTGGAAAGAGATAAAGGCGAAACGAAAGGAAGAAGTGAGGCTACAGAGAGCTGAAGTTCACGCTGCCGTTTCCTTGGCTGGTCTAGCGGCTGCTCTCGCCGCAGTAGCTTCCGAGAACGCCGGAAAAGATGGTGGAAACGGTCAACCGAGCACGAGGGAGACTGCTGTGGCTTCTGCAGCGGCTGTGGTGGCGGCGCAGTGTGCGCAGATGGCAGAGACAATGGGAGCAAACAGAGATCAGCTCAGCACAATGATTGGTTCCGCCATGACCGGGACAAGTGTCAGTGAGATACTCACTCTCACTGCCTCAGCTACAACTTGTAAGAAGAAGATTGTTTTTTTGTTTTTGTTTCTATAAGAATGTTCTGTTACTGAGACATTGGTGCTTGGTAAAATAAGCGTTGAGAGGTGCTGCGACGCTGAAAGCAAGAAGAGGTTGCATGATTAATAGATTGAATGGCTCTGCGCCTGTGTTGCCTATTGAAGACTCTTCTTATTTGCCTCCTGAATTCGACAAGAACATATCTGTTCTTGCTAAAGGAACCGATCTCTTCGTCGAAACACCAGATGGTATATAAATCCTCTGTTTTTCTTGTTGAACTCCTCTGTTTTGTGGAGAGACTAAAACGATCTTTGGATTGAAACAGGGGATTTCAAGGCTAGGACAGTGTCTATGGTCTTAAACAAAGATGGAAAGGTCCTAAACTTGGCTCTAATCCGTTTTTAATCTTAACCAATGACGTCTACTAATCGATGATCTTGCGTTTGTTTTACACAGGTGATTCTCAAAATGAAGAAACATAACCTACTCAGGACTAAGAAAGAAAGTATGCAGCTAGATTCTCTTTCTTTTTTGTTTTAGTTTTACGTAAACTTGAAGCTATGAGTTTAAGGCATTCAATGTTTTGTTTTTGTTGTGTGTTAAGGTATTGTGACGAATGTTCATGTGGAACTTTACAAAGATTCAGATAGCGAAGACAACAACATAGAAGACACTTGTTATCTCATTGTCCTGAGAACAAATAGGGGAGCTATCAAGCTAGACATGGCCGATGATTACAGTCGTTACAAGACATGGGTCACAACGATCCAACACATGCTCACTCTCTCTTCTTCCTCCTTAAGTACAAATTACGCTCTCACTTTCTACAACAAAAACTGAAATCTTTCATCGTCTTTTGTTTTTCTGTGTAATTTTACTTTATCCTCTCCTCTGTTTCTTATGTCTCTCTCGCTTGATCTTATAATATAATGCATAAACAACTTGAGAACTTACGTTCTTTTAATTAGACTCCACATACATCAGCTAGCTTTCTAAGTAAAGTAACCTGAGATTTGAGACGCAAGAGATGCTGAATTGATTTGAGAAACAAGGCTTCCTCGTCCTCGGTCTCTTCACAGCCTGGTACAATCCTACGAAGGATCCCGAGGTTTCTTTGAATACAAGTTTCGTGAAACTTGGGTTTCTCCTTTCGTCCTTTGCGACCGCGGTGGGTGAACTTCTTACACTTCACCATCTTCATCACTTCTTGCACTCTAAGCTAAGATACAAAGCCATATATATAGAGAAACCGTAAAGATGACAACGATATGGAAGAAAACAAGTTGTCTGAAAAATGTTTGACAGAGAAAAGGAGACAAGGAACCCATATCAAGGCCATAACCACTGAACCTGTCTCTGCCAATCCATCCTTGCAATGTCTAATGTTCAATGTATCTGTTTGTGGTCCTCATGTATGCATACTTTATGCCATTATTGTTGTTTCAATTCCAAAATGGTTCGTTTGGTATATGGTTTAACCAATACACTAGGTCAGAGCCCGCGGTGCCACCGCGGGGGAAAGTTGTATTCGTTTACAATTTTTTTTTATTTGATTATTAATATCGTGTGTGTTTTATTGTGTATATGAAAATGTGAATGTGATGTGTTGTAATCGATATCGTTATGAATAAGGCCAGTGTAGATCTGCCAAAATCATCTCAATAGTCTCGCCAGTGTAGCTTGTGTACTGGGTCCAAGAATGCACGATTTTTACTTGAATTCGCCAGGTTGTTTTGAAAGGTCTGATACCATTGATGCTTGTAAAAACGTTATTAAGAGCCATTTGTGAGAAAGAGTTTGTTTGATGGAAGTAAAGTTGATTGCTAATGGTTTGTGTTTATACGGATGGTGTGATCATATATTTATAGTCGAATACAATTGTAGGGTTTATGCGTAGAATATTCGTCAAAGGATATTCAACGGCGAGATTGTAGGATTGTTTTGATTGACAAAACTTAAAAAAGGAAGTAACATCTCAAGAAAATATATGATTAACGTTTGATATATAATTCGATTTTGTATTATGGAGATTTTTTAAGATTGTACTTGTAAATAAAGTAAGTAAGATTGTTTGGGCGAGAAATTAGATATTTGTGCACAAAATATTATTATTAAGATCTCAACGATTAATTTTTCGTAATCTTATTTCCATAAACTGTTGAACGCAATTCTCCTTTTTGTTAGGTAATTCATGTTTTAGTGTCGATTAATATATGGAAATCTAGAAGATCGGATTAGTATATTTTTTAAAGTTTGTATTTAGTTCAAAGTTATTATAATTATTATTATAATTAAAATTATGTTTCGAAGATCCGTTTAGGATGTTTCCGGGTCATTTTTAATTTTTTTTCAATTGTAACCCGACCCAAGTACATTTGTACTTCTCTTTTAATAGTATAGAGATTTACGCATATGAGTAGATGGGAAAATAAAATGGGCCAGACAGTTACAAGAATACAGGCTTCACGTTGACCCAATTAGGCCTATCACTTGATTTATTGTTTTTCTTTTGTTCTTTTGCAATTCTAGAGTCTAATGCCATTAACTTGCCAGGCAAGAAATCACTGGCCAGGTTACCAATTTGAAATTGAAAAAATTGAACCTTACGTCAGATAAGATTACACTGAGGACTCTGTATTATATCATAATCCATCTCATTCACCTAATTAATATCATTTCGCACCGCGCTAAGATTAATTTCTCTCTAATGGGAAAAGAAGGCAAACCCTAGATATACTATCATTCACAAAGGAAGAAGAATTTAAAACCTTGTGTTGCCTCCAAACAGACCAAAATATGGCTTAAGTTCATCGTTTTGACCCCATATGTTACCTCATTTTGACTCGACATCATCAAAATGGGTTAACCTGAACTGCGAATCGGAGTCTTGGGAATTCTCACCATCAGATTCATGCGCAAGAACAATAGGGGAAGACGAAGCAGTGAGGCCAAGGAGGACGAGGTTGTCCCTGCAGATAGGACATGTTGAGTTTGTGAGGAGCCAAGTGTCGATGCACTCCACGTGGAATGCATGGCTGCATCTTGGTAAGAGCCGGAGCTCGTCTTCGGCTGTGAACTCGCTGAGACAAACGGCGCAATCAGAGAGGTCTTGTCTAAGACCAATCATGATCTTGTAATGTAACAGGGGCAATGCATCAATGAAGGATTGGTCAATTCCTGAGTCATGGAGATTGAACCGTGTTTGAAACCGACCTTGCAGAGCATTAGAACTCTCTGTAATGCCATAATAGGCGTCGTCAAGTCGGGTTTGGGGTCTAAGTAAGAATTTTACGAGAAGGTGAATCAAAGCAGCGACAAAGAAGATGATGGAGAGGAGAGTGATGTAGAGAAGTACGGTGGGACTAATCATGTATATCAGATCAAAGTCTTTGTCTGTTGAAGAAGAATATGAAGATGAGTTCGATGAAACAAAGAGAAATGAATCACTTTTCTGCTCCATGGTTTTCTTGAAGAAGATTCAAGAGGAAGGAGATGGGAAAATAAGTGAAAGAAGATAAAAAGTGAATAAAAGGAAGACTCTGTTATTGTAACCAAAAAGTAAAGAAACAACATGTTGCCGTTTCAATTCAAAGTGAGTTGGTTTTTTTTTCTAAACATAGAAGTCAAGTATTCAGAGATTTCCAAATACAGATGTTTTTTGTTGTTCAAAAGCAACGTGGTTTCATTGACATTAGCTCAATAACAGAGCATTAACAGATTAAAAAACAGAGGAGAAAAAACTAAAAGGATTCTTTTTTTTCTTTGTTACATCAAGACACTCGGGAATAACAAATCAAGCATCAAAGATATATGGAGTGTTGAATGTGTGGGCTTTATCAACAACGAATTGGAAATTTGAAGCAGTGTCTAAAGACATAGACAATCTATTAACTCTGGACAAAGAAATCTTCTTCTTCTAAGGTACTGTTCTTTCTAATCCCCAAATATCGAGAGAGTTGGATCTCTTGTCATAGATCAAGTACACACGAGATGCATTGAAAGTTCGGAAGCGTTTCTATAGCCCGAGATGGACAAGTGAAAAGAGTTGGAAAGAGGAGTCTCGTGCTGCTCCATGGATAAATAGTATCTCACAGCTAATCAGGGGCCGATCTAGGTACTAGGATGTGAGGCACGTGCCCCATGATACTTTTATGAATTTTAATTTGTAAGATTGTGCAGTTACTTTTATTCGGCACTTTTGGTTGAGTGCTCTCACCCTTGCCCTGTGCCCAGGTTCGAGCGTAGGCAGTTACCCTTACTTTTTTTACTTTTTTTTTTTTTTTTCTCCCCAAAACATTAATTTAATTAAACACTTAGCTCTAACTTCCTTATTTAGCTGTCAATTTTAATTTTGATTTTTACTGATTGACTAATTAGATATTATATGGCTGTCAAAAAAAAAAGATATTATATGTGTATTGATATATTTTTAAAATATTTATTTATGTTTTATCACAAATTTTATATTTTGATAACAACTAATATATTTAGTATGTTTGAAAAACTAAAACAAACAAATGGTGCTCGAGGCTAAATATATCTCTAGATCCGTCACTAGAGCTAATTGAATTGATTTTTCTCTTTTTCGGAGAAGATGAAGAAGTGTAATGGATTCCATTGAAGAATCTTGAATCTTCACCATGATGAGTAGTTAACTCTTCCGGGTACCATGACGGTATGTCAAAATCTGTAGGAAAACAAGGTGATAAGGAATAATGAACAATGGGATGATGAAACAAACAAGAAAGTGATTGGCAATAATAAATACCATGTAAGATGATCTTTTTGATGATACAAATCATCTCCTCTGAATCAGTTTTCTCGATTAGAGAGGCGAATATGGAAGTTTGCGAGGCTCTGTTACTAAATCAGTACAAAAATTGATATCCCGTAAGATAAGGACGTAAATCATTCCTAAACTATAAAGAGAGGGGATTATTTAATGTATAATTTTGTGAAACAAAAAGATTTACATTCCTAAAATATCGAGAGATGATGCATCGTTACTAAACCCTATTCCGTGAAATAAGAAAATTTGAAGAAGAAATCCAACATGTCAGAGTTAAGTGCTAATTTATCAAGAGAGTCATTAACCTCTTTGCAGAGCCGGTCCGACATTTTCGAATACCCTATGCAAATAAAAAAATTATGTCTTATATTTTTGTTTTGCAAAATCACAAATAATATTAATATATAAAAAGTCATACTAAAACTTTATAAAACATTTTTTAATTTGATAAGCAATTTGTTAATAATATCATAATACACTATATTTTGCTTTTTTCGTCTACTCATAACCAGGGGCGGAGCTAACTCATAACCAAGGGGGTCAGTTGACCCCTATGAAATTTAAGAATTCTTGTTTGCATGCTTATTTAAATGGTACATAATGGCTTATTTTGGCTTGATTCTTCTCAATTGACCCCTATGGCTCACGTTAAACTACTCCTTTTGACCCCCTCTTACAATTTTTCTTTATTTAATTGTTCTTATTTATTTGTCTCTTTAGTCTTTTTAAGTTTTAATACATAATTTTTATCTGTCTTACATATTAATTTTTGTTTTTTTCATTCTTATACATCTTGAGAAACAAAAATATTTATATTTCATACCTTTTGTATAAAAAATAAAAATATGAAATAGTTATTGAGACTCCAATACTCATATCTCATACAAAGATTTAAATATATATTTCTTATTATCTATTTTTATGTAAAATCATATATAAGTTATAGGGTATGTGACAATAATACATGATGTTATTCTTAGTTATGCTTTATTAATATTTAAAAGCCAAAACTAGTACCTAAAGTAATGAAATTTAATTTTAACAATATATAGTACAAATAAATGATTATTACTATATAATTTTACTAATATTGACCCCTGTAATAAAAATTTCTGCCTCCGCCACTGCTCATAACAGTGTTATTTCTGTGTTAGATGATAAAAAGTCCGATCTTCTCCGTAAAAACTCTTTCTTTTCTAGATATCAAAACTGTCACTCATAAGATCCAGATCTTGTAGATGATTATGTCGTTTTGAAGAATTCCAAGGGAGGTAGATTGATTCTTAGCTAGTAGCATAAAGAAAATGCAAACATTTATACATTTTCTTGGAGAATTAGAGAGAAGCGTTTACATATATTTGGTGATGTTGCCTTGTTGGTTCGTTTATGATTTGAACCATTTGAACCACTATGAGTTGATTATACATGTAAACCAATTGAACCATTATGGTCGAAGAAGTTAGTTTTTGAAACTATTAATGTGAATTTATTTTACTGATTAAAATTATAATTGTGATATTAATTATGAATATGGAAAGCTATAAGGGGAGTATTAATTAAGAAAGCTTTACAAATTTTTTTATACAAAAGATAGGAAACTTAATTGATTAATTAGTTTTAAATGAAATCATTAAAATTTATTGAGTTATATATATATATATATATATTTGTAGTATGATTGATCATTCTGATACTAATTACAAAGAGATACAATCCCATGATGATATAATTACAAAGAGATTGCATCTATATTTGTAGTGTGGCTTTGTCTTTGGAGTTAATGAAGCTAATCCGTTAAATATGATCAAACCGAATAAACTGGATTGGGTTTAATCTTTGAATATATTAATTTAAACTAAACGATATAGGAGAAAAAAGATTGAGAGTTTTGCCCCCCAAAAAAAAAAAAGAGTGAGAGAAGGATCATTCATTTACACATCCACACATAATAGATTTGAGGAGAAACAAACTCATCAGTGAGTTTTCAAATTGTTACAATTTGAACTCTGAAGTCATTCATGTTATGTAGATTTGCTAATGCAAATGCAATTATACGCATGACGTGACACGACCCACATGCTCCTCCACATTTCATTGTTACCGCTAATGTCAATATGTCATGTTGCTTTTGGAGATTTGTTAATTGAATTATTTGTTGGCACAAAAAGAAGCTATTTTCATTTAATTATGTATTATAATAAGATTTGTTGTTTTAAAATAAGATTTATTTATTTATATGAAATAAAGGAAAAAGCTTGCTTGCTTATGGTGATGAAGAATGTCTTTCTTTTTCTTTCATAGTGAGAGAATCTTATAATCATAACATTTTGGTTAAAACAAAACGCGCGAATTCCGGCGATTAGTTTTATCGAACCTCTGGCCACAACGTTCTCCTCTTTGGCTTTGTCTTTTTTTTTCAAATAATTAAAGTCAATTAATTAGAGTCACCATCACCAAATATTAAGAGATCCTCCACACACACAAAAAAAAAAAAAAAGAGTTAGAAAGATCAATTCTTTTTTCCTTATTTAGTTCAAAATAAATTAATCACCAATTTGTTGTTTTTTATTAATCATTTTCCTTTTTTTGAATACTTTAGTTTCTCCATTCTTTAATCTTCGTCTAGATTACCATTTTCAGAGATGTTGTTCTCTGGATGATTTCCTCTAAAGTTTAAGCTTTTTTTTGGTCAATTCTTTTAAAGTTTTGAATTTTTTTTGGGTAAATTCTTTAAAGTTTTCTTCTTTCTAAAAGCGGGATCATTATGATGATGATGATGATCTGTACATAAGAGAATTAAAGAACAACAACAACATCAAAAACAGAGGAAAAAAAAAACCAACTTTTTCTTGTTGCAATCATTCGAAATTAAATTCAATTCTTTGAATTGGAATTGGGTATCTAAAACTCTGATTCTTCGTCCGAGCTGATTCTCGAATTGGGGTTGCTCCAAATTGTCAATCCAACAGATTTTTTCGTGTTGTTGTTTTGTTGATTTCGATCATGGTGGTGATGATTGCTTAGGGTTCATCTTGATTTTGTCGAGAATTCAGATCAAAATTTCAGTTTTGTATCGTAAAACGATGAGGTTTCTAAGCCTCGTCGGAAACTCATTCGGTTGTTCTGCGTCCGGCGAACGCTTAGTATCAGCGGCCAGAGACGGCGATTTACAAGAAGCCAAAGCTCTCTTAGATTACAATCCAAGACTCGCTCGTTACTCTACTTTTGGCGTTCGTAACTCTCCTCTTCATTACTCTGCCGCTCAAGGCCACCATGAGGTACCTCAAATTACTTGAAAGATCAATACTTTGTAAGACTTTTATGGTGATGATTGGTGATGATCCCGATTTGGGTTTTGTTTATCTTCAGATAGTTTCTCTGTTGGTGGAATCAGGAGTTGATATTAATCTCCGGAACTACCGTGGACAGGTATGTGATTAGTATCTTTTGTGCTTTGGAGTATTGATTGGTTTAAAGTAATCTGAATACAAGAATTTTTTGGAAACAGACGGCTTTGATGCAAGCTTGTCAACATGGTCATTGGGAGGTTGTTTTGATTCTGATTCTTTTTGGTGCTAATGTAAGGATTTGATCAACTTTAAATTGTGATTTCTGACTGATTGTGATTTAAAAATATGTCAGGGGTTGGGACAATGATTGTGTTTCTTGATTGTTCGGGTTTTAGATTCACAGATCAGATTACTTAAATGGCGGTACTGCTTTACACCTTGCGGCTTTAAATGGTCATCCTCGGTGTATCAGGATCTTGCTTTCGGAGTATATACCAAGTGTTCCTAATTGCTGGAGCCTATTGAAGAATAAGAAATCTTCTGTTGCTGGATTTGATCCAAGGTAAAACGTGTTTTTTTTTTAAAAGAGTTACTATAATGCTTTATAGTCACTTGATGATTAGTTGAATGTGTTTTGTGTTCTTTGGATGTGTTGTTGTAGTGTTCTTTACGAAGTGATCAACAGAGCAGCAGATGGAGGAATCACACCTCTTCATGTGGCGGCTTTGAACGGACATATAGAGACGGTGCAGTTACTCTTGGATTTGGGAGCTTCGGTTACTCAGGTCACAGTGGAAGATGGAACCACAATAGATCTTATAGGTTATTATTATATTCTCCCATTGATTAATTTTGATAATGAATGGAGGGATTCTTTAAGTGAAAGGCTTAAATTTGTTTTTCGCTCTGGCTCTTTGGTTTTTTTATATATTGAAGGTGCTGGGAGTACAGCTCTCCATTATGCTTCATGTGGCGGAAACACACAGTGTTGCCAGGTATACATGCTTAACTAGACAATCATGATACCGAAAATTCGATTTTTCTTTTTCAAAACGTTTTGCTTCTGTTATGTTTCGTTTAAAGTTCAGATATGAATTCATTTGGCATTTGTTTTTCTCAGCTTTTGATCAGTAAGGGTGCTTGTTTGGCTGCCGTAAACTCCAATGGGTATTAGATCTCTCTATTCCTCTGCCTGCTAAATCCAATCCAACAGTTTGATATAGACCTCAGTGTCTTAATTCGCTTCATGTTTTTTGGTTTTAGATGGACGCCATTGATGGTTGCTCGTTCATGGCACCGGAACTGGCTGGAAGAAATCCTGAACCCAACCACAGAACAACCACAACTCCATTTGCCAAAAGTCCCCTCTCCTTTCCTCTGCCTTCCTTTAATGAGCATTGTCAAGATTGCTCAGTATGTAAACCTTTCACCTAATTGAAACACCCTATATGATCGCAAGAATCTCCGAGGCTGATTGGTCTTTTTCGTATGTGGATTTCAGAGAATGTGGCTGGCGAGAAAACGATTGTCTCACTCCATGTCGTGACCCTTGTGCCGTTTGTTTGGAAAGAAAATGCACTGTAGCAGCAGATGGTATTGTATCGATTTCACTACCGTAATTGATCTTGCTTAAAACAATGAATTGATTGTTTTGTGTGACATAACAGGATGTGCTCATGAGTTCTGCACAAACTGTGCATTATACCTAAGCACCACAAACATAACATCGTCGAAGACATCACAAGCCACACCAGGCTCTGTCCCATGTCCTCTATGTCGCAACGGCATTGTATCTTTCACCAAACTTCCCCATACAATAACAGCAACAACAACAACATCATCAAGAGCTAGCATCTCCTTGTCCTTCTGCACTTGCTCCTCTGATGTCTTAGACACAGCTCTCCTCACTAACCCTCATTACAGTTGTAGACCGGTTGTGTCAAGATCCGGTTCTCGAATTCCACAATCTGCTAGATCATCATCGTTTCGGTCTCTTAGCTGCCGTCGGTTTCCTCCAAGTCTCTGCCTTGGTGGCTCAGATGTTGATGAACCGCAAAGCCGGTTAATGGGTGGATCATATTCAAGATCCGGTGTAGGATTCAGGCGATCGACGTCTCAGGTTGAAGGGAAACGTTCTTGGTTTTCTGCACTTAACCATTGTGTTACAACCAGTGGAAGTGCTTGCTAACTCAAAACGATCGTCGTTTTTTTTTTCCCTTTTTATAACTTTTTGTTCAATGTGCTAATTGATTCTGTGAATGGTGTGGTGATTATTCATTTTGTAATAAAAATAATTAAATTGGCGTTGCCATTACTTTGAAATGGTGTATATAAAAATTATGTTTGAGAGTGAATTTCTTGCGTAGTATCTTTAAGGTATCACTTTAATAACTTATCAAACACTTAACAAATAAACAAAGACTACATATATATTTAGATAGACTTTGAGAGCAACTAATTGAGAAACTATGGGATTAATAATGAATTTTACATAAAGCTCAGGAGGAATAGAAACAACAAACCAATACAAAATAAAATACAAAAATGAAGAGAAGATAAAAGAAAATAAAAGAACAATAAAAATCTAATAAGCCTTGCAAGGTCAAGAAAAATCTTCTAAAATATAGAAGAACTTTCTATTGATGATTTAGTAGAAACAAAACTATTTTTTTTTGTTTTTCATAAAAAAAAAAAGGAATTAAAAAAAAGCTCAGCAAGGATAATGCCAATGGAACACTAATGTCCAAGAAATCTTCTTCTCCCTGAGATACTCACACGTTCGAAAGTACAACCATGATGTAATGGAGAAGATAGAAAAAGTTGAAAGAGAGAAACGATCATCATTATGATCATAAATAGCATCATGAGAATTATGATGATGATCATAATCATGATCATCAAGAAGAGGAATGATATGATGCTTTTGCTCTGAAGTGATGATGTGAGAGGGCAGGTGAAGTTCGTGTTTATATTGGGAAATAAGAGGATGAAAGTAATGGAAGCTAGACCTCTATTTAAAAAAAAAAAAGATTAATAAAAACCAGAGAAATCATAAAACAAAACTAACATTAATATATATTTCTAATATACACAGTTACAAAAGATTGTATAAACATTATTCAAGAATCAAGATAACTTGGGTGTGTAAATTCCAAAGTAAGAAAAAATATGCAAGAATATACACAAAGCTCACTATTAATCTACTTTTACACGTTACGTTGAAAAGTCTTGTGATTAATTCCACAAATAGTCAGAGAGTCTAAGAAAAAAAAATTCACAACAAAATACGAGTGCCCATACAAAACGATAGCTGAAGTTACACGTTGATACGCACTTTAAAACCGTAAAGACTGTGTTTTGGATAAAGCATATATATGCTCTATATTGATAGTAGAAAATGGAGAAAATTCGCATATAGTTATGCTCCGCATTTAACACGATACGTATACGCAAGTGAAATTTCAAGCACAAAAAAGGTTTCTTGAGAAAAAGCTTGGCTCGCTTTTCTTATCAAGATTTGCCTCGGTTTTAAGATTTTACTTTTAGCTGAAACTGTTGGTCTCTGTCACACTTTTTACCGTCTGAATTACGAAATTTGGGGGGAATCAATTTAGCTCTCTCCTTTTTTTTTACCTTTAAAATTTCATGTCCTCGTTTTACGTATCATTGAAGAAAATTAGGGTTTTCCATTTTCAGTAAAACAAAAGTTCAGAGAAAAAATTCAAAATTGAAACGGCCAAGCAATAGTCAATACTTATTTTCATATAAAGCTAGACAAGAGATTCATTGGGTTTTTGTTGTGTCCTTCTCTACCCGCTCCCGTGTAATAAATAAATAATCATACAAAAAGCTTACCTTCCTCTCTCTCTTTTGGATATCAAATATGTCATATGCATTTTGTTCTATTCCAATTGTATTCCTATAATCTTTAACCTTCAAAGTCAAAGCAAAAAAGATGCTTTTACCAAAAAAAAAAAAAAAAAAAAAAAAGCAAAAAAGATGAATTATATTATCTAAATAGATACATATATAGTTTAGTTGAAAACACACACGTATAGTTAGACAATTTACATTTTTTTGGTGAATCTTAGATAACTTACTTTATAATGTAATGAATTTGGTTAAAACAATCTCCAACTAAGATGATAGTAGTATATCTCTAAAAAGGAAAAAAACAGTTTGATTGTATTTAATGGCGTTTTTATATGTAAGAGAGGAGAAGAAACAAAAAGCTGCAAATGTATAAATAGGTGTAATCATCACAAAACTTTGGGATGTGACAATACATTGTCAAGCTTCTGTCTCTTTCTCTGTTCTTCTCTCTGATGAGCCTTTAATATATATTGGTATATTTTCTTAATTATATTCAGAAACAGTGAAACAGAAGTAAGTTTTCGAAATTGAAGAAGTGTAACATGCATGCATATTTACCAATTCTTCAATGTTCAGATTGTCTAAGCCAAAGAATCTCTTAGGCCATACACATTGGCGCACTCAATGGCCGAGTGTGAGTAATAAACAAAAGAAAAATAATTGAAATGTTGTCTCTCTCTTCTCACCCGGGTGTAACACTATTTCTCTCTCTTTCTTTCTTTCTCTCTTTTCTCTTTTGCTTTAAATTATAATAATAAAAAAATACTTACACCCACACAAACACATTTGCCACTACTGATGGTCTTATACCAATATAGAAAGTGGGACATGACGACTTTGATACTCCAATTTTTCAATCGTGTAGAAAATAATTATTATTTTTGTCAACTCAGAAATACACTTCTTATTTTATTTTTTATTTTTTTCTCAGACACTTGTTATTTTTTGCTTTTTTTTGCAAAAACTTGGAAATATTATTCATGTAAGAGGTTAGGGGAAATTGCAACAAAAATACCCAAGGTCATTTTAAGACTTAAATCAACTGTATTTCTCTTTACTTTAGTCTCCGGTCGAGTAATTGATATCTTGGGTTGTGTTTTTACAGTTTTTCCCAACTAGTTGAGCTTAACTGTTGTTTTGGTATATGTTTTAGGGATTTAAGATTTTTGTTTCCATTACGTATTAAGACTTCATGTTAAAGTGAAAAAAAACAAACTTTGGCAAAGCCCAGCCCAGTGTTAAACTCAGCCCAAATTAAAGCCTATATACGTATTAGGTTTGTGTTTCTGTACAACACTTCTTTTAATTTCAAGGTTTCAAATTTCAACATTTAACCATATCCACTCCAGTCTCTTGTCCTACTTATTGGAGTTTTATGTCGGCCCATATAGGCCCATATTTGTTTAATGAGTATAAAAGTCTGATGATTGGGCTTCCATCTAATATGAATATATTGTTTTCCAGGTTTTTATAATGGCATTGGATTATTTATAGGGAAAATCACATTTTTAACCCTCAAAGTGTAACTGGGAAGCACTTTAAACCTCGAAAGAATTCTACTAACACTATAAACCACCAAGATTGTTTTACTAACACTTTAAACCTCCAAACTAACTTTTCTGTTTGCAAAGCTATAAAAAATGATGGAACAATCAATTTATGTTTGTTTAATATATATTTATTTAATTTAATTTAAATTTTAATTAATTTTATTATTTATTACAATTAATAAAAATCTATAAAAACAAAAAAAAAAACTTTATTTTCTTCGTTTACTCATTGTCCGACAATGAAATTTCTTGATAAACTGTTGAAACAGTCTTTTAGACTGATCCATAAGCATCTTTACTCAATCAAGTAGATAAATTGGAATCTCATAATACCAACTGAATAAAAAGATGGTGAACACATACAATAAACTGAATAAAAATTTGAAAAATTATGTTCGGACGGTGAATAGTCGAAGATAATAATTTTTTTTTTTACTTTTTTATTTATCGTCAAAATCGTAATAAATAATAAAATTAATTAAAATTTAAATTAAATTAAATTAAGAGAAATTGTTAAAAATGCCCCTTTTTCAATACCCCTTTTCAAAAATGCCCCCTTTGAGAGTCCATTTTTAAGTTTGCCCTCTTTTAATTTTTAATGACCATTTTACCCTTATTTGAAACAAAATTAGGTCCACAAAATACAAAATATTTTTTGGCGGGAAAAGTGATCCCGCAATTTTCCCGCCAAAACACTTGTAAAAACCTTTAAAATACCTTGTAAAATTTTCCCGTAAAAATTTTTCCCGCCAAAATTTTTTTTTTGCGGGAAAAGTGATTCCGCAATTTTTTTGGCGAAATTTTTTTGGCGGGAAAAATTTACAAGGTATTTTAAAGGTTTTACAGAGTATTTACAAGTGTTATGTAAGGTTTTACAATGTATTTTAAAAGGTTTTACAAGGTACTTATAAGGTTTTATAAGGTATTTATAACTTGTAAAACCTTATAAAAAACTTGTAAAACCTTATAACTTGTAAAACCTTATAAAATAGCTTGTAAAATCTTATAATATCTTATAAATACCTTATAAATACGTTGTAAAACCTTTTAAAATACATTGTAAAACCTTATCAATACCCTGTAAAAAACCTTTAAAATACCTTGTAAATTTTTCCCTCCAAAAAAATTGCGGAATCACTTTTCCCGCAAAAAAATTTTTTTGGCGGGAAAATTTTTTGGCGGGAAAAAATTTTACGGGAAAATTTTACAAGGTATTTTAAAGGTTTTAAAAGTTTTTACAAGTGTTTTGGCGGGATCACTTTTCCCGCCAAAAAATATTTTTTATTTTGTGGACCTAATTTTGTTATATTTCCTTATATATTTGTGATATATTTTATTAAAGAAGGGTAATTTAGTCATTTTGTACATAAAAAGGGGTATTTTTAAAAATGGACATCCAACGGAGGCATTTTTGAAAAGGGGTATTGAAAAAGGGGCATTTTTGTGAGTCTCCCTATAAATATATATTACACCAACATAAATTGATTGTTCCATCATTTTTTATTGTTTTGCAAATAGAAAAACTAGTTTGGAGGTTTAAAGTGTTAGTAAAACAATTTTAGTGGTTTATAGTGTTAGTAGAATTCTTTCAAGGTTTAAAGTGCTACCCAGTTACACTTTGAGGGTTAAAAACGTGATTTTCCCATTATTTATATCATTTATATTTGTACAAAATTTCTATTTTGGGAGTCTCTCTAGTACAAAGTTTTTCAAAGCTCTCTGAAAATATATCCGTTTATTGCCAATTCCACAATTAAAGCTGATCTCTCTGCAAATGACGTATCAAGCAATTTGCTTTATGACTTTGACTAATTGTACAACACTTACACTCACACAAAACCCACTCTCACACTCAAACACTCTCTTACACACACTAACTACATTTTTGAAGATTCTATACAACACCACAGCTTTTTCATTTGTAACTTTTTCATTTGTAGAATCCAGACTCAAGCAAAGACAAAAAGAAGATGGCATTAGAAAATGGGTTTCCTCCATATCCAGATTTCCTCAAGATCTTCAACTCCCATGAACATTCTCAACGTTTGGTAAGTAACACCATCTTTCTCTCTCTCTCTTTATCATCTCCAATTTATCTGTCTTGTTAGATTATAGAATGATGTAAGATTATTTTGATGAGATTATCCTTGAAAGGTTTGTTTGTGTTCTTGCTACGTTAGTGGAAGAGTTTCAGACAATTTGAAATGGAACCAGACCAAAGAGATATCAAGAATTTTAAATGGAACCAAACTAAAAATGATATTTTTTTCATTATGTTATGTTGTATACAACTTTAATTATTGGATTCCTCTAATGTTTTTTTCTCTTAGCTCTGTTTCTGTTGAACTTTTAATTTTTGATTCCTCTGTTCTGTTGATTCCTCTGTTCCTGTACTATTCGAGAGTCCAAAAGTGAATTCTGTTAAGGTTTGGTTCAGTTCCTGATGTCTAAGGCTCTGGTCCTGTTCCTAATTTCTTAGGGTTTGGTTTGATTCTTGATGTCTACGGGACTGGTTTTGTTCACAATTTCTTAGGAGTTTGGTTCTGTTCCTGATCTCTTAGGATTTGCTATGTTCAGCTTCAAATCTTATTCCTTAATTCTTGATCTCTCTTTGGTTTGGTTTCTTTATCAATAAGTGGAACGTTTAACCTACGTGTGCCATTGTCACTTCGTAGGTAATCCCAAGAGGTTACAACAAATACTATCCAAACCCTCTGCCTCAGACAGCTGTTCTCAAGAAGCCGGAAGGAAGCTTCTGGAATGTCAAATGGACAAAAAGCCAAGAGGAGACTATTAGCTTCCAAGAAGGTTGGGAAAAGTTTGTCAAAGACAATGGTCTTATTGACAGAGACTTTCTCTTATTCACCTATGATGGTTCTCGGAGCTTTTGGGTACGCATCCACCGGAATGGCCTCCCCTTGGAGCCAACCGCTCCTATCAAAATACAAGAAATATCAGATGATGAAGATGATACAATTGATCATGGTGATCATCATATGGAAGAAGGAGATAGCCATGAGAACATGATCGTTTCTCTTTCTCTCGGAAGCAGCGACGAAGCTGATGATGATGATGATTATGATACAACGATTTGTGAAGTTAACAAAGCTAGTGGAAGTTCCAAGAAAGGTAAAACAGTACTTGCCTAGTTTTGTTTCCATCAAAATGTATTGATGCTAAAATACTTATTGATTGATCTTCAGCAGGAAGGGTTGCAAGAAAGCATCGTGCTGATTCTATTGCTGCTTCTATTGATCCGGAAACTTATCTTGATGATCCCAAAAACCCGTTCTTTATTTCAACTTCATCGTGTTCGAGGCGTGTATTGGTAATAAAGCTTTTTGAACTTTATGTTGCTTTGTTGTGATAATGTGTATTCATTTTCTTAATTTGTGTTATGTTGGTTGATTCGTAGGTAATTGCTAGGCAAGTAATAAAAGACTATGACTTAAACTTTGACGGCACTATCAAACTCATCGATGGATTCGGGGAATTAAGGAGAAAGGTTGGGAAATGGAAAGATCGTGTTGTGGTATACAAGTGGGACGAAATGTTTACGAGAAACAAAGCAAATCAAGGAGACGCAATCATATGTGAGGTTATACGCGAAGAAGATGTTGTTCGCTCCATCAAAGTGCACTTCGTGAAGAATTGAAGTTTATTTATCGTATGTTGTTTTTAAGTTTATGGATGATGAAACCTTTGTCTCTAGGCTCTTATGGAAACATTTGTAGTATCTTATCACTAGGATGTATGGTTAGCTTTTGAAGTTGTGAACTTATGATCTTTGAATTTAAGGTTCTGTTGCATGTTTAGTAGAAATGATGGATATGTTTTTTCATCAAATGTGCCTCAATTTGTTCACTTTGAAACTGGATTTGGTATGGACTGTGGACAATCCATTGACTCCAAAATAAAGTAAATTAGGAAACTAACTTGCTAGTTTAAGGATTTGCTTTCGAAATAGACCAAGTTACTAAAATAAGATTTGAGCCTTTACTCTTTTACATATAAGTTACGTACATACATACTCTTTGGCTGAGAAAAAAAAAACACTCTTTGGCCCATTATTATTGGGCTATCTTCAGGCCCATTATTATTATACATAATTTGATGGTTAGCTTTTCTTCTCAATCATGCATTGGATTGAAAACACTGAATCTTAAACCTTTGTATGTTAATTACACTCTCTCTTTTTTTTTTTTTTTTTAACATCAACATTATATAATCTTGTCAATTATATAATTTTTTTTCCAATGGACCATTCATTCCTTAGTGTGGTTTTAAAGCTTAGATATTTCGTGAGAGCTTTGAACTAGAAGACAGCTTACTCCTTCTCTATAAGAAATTAAGAAGTTGAGTTGTCCAAATCAAACGCGTCAATAAATTTATAGCAATCCTCCAATTTTCTTACAAGTTGCCATCTTTTTCACATTTATTGAGCATACATTATTTAATTATTTCACAATTCTCTTGCATTCAATAAATCTAAATCTACCCTAATTGATCAAAAAGGTTATGTTTAGTATTATTCAACCACTATATTAAAGTAACATCAGAATATAACAGTTTTTTCTCCTTTATCTCGACGCAAACAAACAATTAACAATTTATAACTTTATACGTTAGATTTCATATATTTTAATTAAAGTAATGAATCTGTGAGACTTTTGCGTCATACCTTTTTGTAGTTGTAACAGGTAAGGCTTCTAAAGGAAAAGTAATAATTTAATACTACTAGTAGTTATTAATTTATTATTAACAAAAAGAAAAAAGAGTTCGAGGAAACGGTCAAAATGCAACAATAATTGCAGAAATTATTTAATTAAATGACGAAACACATGCAATGTTCATCATTCAGTGAACCAAACTTTGTTTTAATTTAATATTTTTTGTTATCTTCCTTAGCTTTCAACTTTTCAAGTGTGTTTATCTTTCTTTTTTTGGAAACTTTTTGATTGCTTTTTCTTCCATTTTTGTCTTTTTCTCTTACATTTTTTCGTTCTCTATAGAAAAATACAAAAAAAACTAATCAATTTGCAGATTTTCTGCCATTTAAAACTGCTTTTACACTTCTTCTTAAATCGAAATCAAATGGTCCCCTAATATAAACGACGACTAAAGAAAATGCAATTGTTTAACTTCTTTAGATTAATCTTGTCATTGAGAAAAAATAACATACTATTAACTTTATTAATCTTTCATTATTTATCTATCAAATAAATATCTATAATCGCTACATAAATCTCCCCTCCCGTTACCATTACATTAAACACAAAAAGCTAGACTCTGGAGTAAAACAAAAAAGAACTATAAAGTATAAACACCTTTTTTTTTACTATTTTTACCCCTAACTGTTTCCCTTTCCCCCCGCCAAAACCAGTTGAGACATATTTACATCTCTACCCTTCCAGATTCCACCGTAACAACTAAACTCCAATCTCTGTTCTCAACTCATTCATACTGCCAACGTAATACTTGTCGGCAGTAAATCACCGGCGTTTCGTTCACCGGAATCTTCATCTAGCTCGAGTCGAGCAACTGTACGGTCACCATAAGTACCGGAAGACGACACTCGAGCCTTAAGTTGGCTCACCACCGGAACAATCGCCTTTTCGATCCATTCCTCTAACTCTGTCTGGCCTAACCACACTCCGCTCAAGATTCTATGAAGTGCCTCTTCCTCGACTTCTATTGATAGCGATTCGCCAATGATTGTTGCGAATCTTTCAGATAATGTTTCTGTGATTTTCCGTCTCACAGCTCCAAAATCAACTGCTCGAAATGCTACCGCATCGTCTACACGGCTGACCATATCGTGGAACGCAAATGGAACGCATTGCAGTGACAGCTTTCCGCTAAAGCCTTGCTCTTCTTGATCGTTATCTGTTGTTAGATCGCTTGTATTATGAGAACCATCATCCGTATCAGCAGCTTGGTTCAAATCGAAAGATAAACCCGATCCATGTTCTTTCTTCGGTTTCGTCAGCCTCTCCTCATCGCTACACAGCCAACTTGCTCGCCGTTTTCCAAATTTCTCCCGCATGCATAATCGCAAACGCCAGCTTTCGCTAGCCAAATCTCGGAGTTTTGATTCATTGTCTAGGAACGATGTTTTGGTCCCTGCGAAATGCCAGCTCGCTGTCATAACAAAGATCACGTTACCTAAACTGATCTCACGGCCGTGCGAGTCACGAATTCTGCCTCTATCCATCGCCTGTTTTATGCTTCCACGCACCAACATATCCGCTTCGTCAATATCTTCGAGCAAGATAACAGAGAACGGACTCCTTTTAACGGTTTCCGCAATCTTATCCAACGCGGTTTTACCACGGAAACTAGGATTTCCATCTCCAGCATCCTGTCTCGACCCGAGCTGAATCATTATTGGATTCGTCCCATACACAAGAGAAGACAGAGCTGACACCATTTTTCTCTTCCCCAGTCTATCCGGTCCTGAAAACAGTAACCAGACATCTCCCTTTGATAAAACACCGCGCCGTTTCCCATTTCCGAGCTTGCATTGACTAACCGTTGCAGCCACCGCAGCAGCTGCATCATTCTGCCACCAAACTTTCTCGGTCATTCCCTTCAACAGCTTCTTAAACAAATCAATGTCTAACGAATTCCCGAGATTCTCCTTTTGCAAAACACTGATATTATTGTTGTTCTGCACTGATTCAGACGATATGCAGCCGAGAAAGTCTCTCACTTGCACATCTCCAGCTCTCTCCGAATCCTGAAATACGCAAACACAAGTACACCGAAGACGTCAGGTTTGTAATTTCGATGAACATATTTTCATCACAATATACAGATTGTCAAATCAACAAACCTCTGCTCGTCCAAGAACAAGATCAGTCTGAACCGGGCTCCCTGGAGGACTCTTCTTCTTGGCCTGCTCAGCCACCGAAGGACTTATAGGCTTCAAGTGTACCCTCTCACGCAACTCTCTATTGGGCTGTAACTTAGGCTGCAACGGCTGACGAAGAAGCATGTTAGGACCGTAGGAGCTCGTTGTCAACGTTATAGGAACAGGGATCGGAACAATCCTCTCGTTCTTGTTATGAAAGCTAGGATGAAGACGCACACATGCATCATTCCATTTCTTCTGCACTTCTTCAATCTTTGCCTGCTGTAACAAAAACATTCGAACCGCAAAACATTACGAACAGATAAATCTATGATCTGCAATTTTATCAGGAAACCATTGCTATTGTCAAAGAGAAGATTCAAAAACCGGAACTTACCGGTAAACGATCAATCGGTTTAGCTTTCAACAGCCACTGTGGCAACTGTTTAGGCTGAGCTACTTCAGATTTAACCTCTGGAGAAGACACTGAATCAATCTCAGCGAGTTCTCGCTCGTAACTCTGTGAGCACTGTGGACAACATTTCAATATCCTATTATTCGCAGGCACAAAGCTCTTCAATGGCGTGAATGATTCCAAATTGTTCGCAAGCCTGAATCAAAACATGAATCTTTTTGAGAGAATTCAAAAAAGCTGAGATTTTTCTTTAGCAAAGACGAAGCTTTATCACAACCCACCTCGGGAAAACTCCAGACGCCGGAGCTTTAGCTGCCACCGACACAGCTTGAAGATCCCAATCAGTCTCCATTGATGGATGATAAACTTGACATCTTAAATAAGTCTCACACGTGGCAGTTCCGATAAACCAGAGTCTTCCTTCAAACTTCTCCAAAAGCTTCCGTAGCTCCGCCACCGCTGTCCTCCCAACCTCCACCGCAAGCGTAGCCAACGGTTGCGTCGAACTCGGTTGCTCCACAAGCCATTTCAAGTCACCAAGATCAAGAATCACTCCGCCGCCGCCGCTAGGATCCGAAGTCTTTAATCGGGTCTCAAGCAACCCATCTAAGTCTTTGATTCGCAGAGCCTTATCGGAATTGATCTCCTCTAAATGAATCACCTTTGAGTTCTTCACCGCTAAATTCTCAACTTCTCCGACCTCAATTTTCTTAAGGATCTCACGAATTACCCGACCCGGCTCCGAATCTCCAACCAAAACCGGGTTTTTCTTCTTCGCCCGACCCAATATATCCATAACCCGCTCAACATCATCGTTCTTACTCACCCCTGATTGCGCCGGCGACGTGTTCTGTTGTAACCGTGGATTAAGATACGAATTCCGGGTCATCGGACCTCCACCACCACCGGGTCTAAAATTCAACCCGACTGAAGAAACACTCGGAATCGGCGTCGGAGTAGTCGAATTATTCAACGACTGTTCAATTGTAGCTTTAACGGCGGGACTCGAAAAGCTAGCTTCTCTCATAACCCGACTCACACTTGGATCATCCAAAATCGAGATAATGAGCTGTTCAAGCTCAACTTTAACGGCCAACAACGGTTGTTGTTGTTGCTCCGGACATCCACGGCGTTGATGAGCTTGCGCTCGTTTCAACGCCGCCATAAGCGCGTTTGAGATCGGAGGATCATTCGCCGGAGTCGCTGTAGCTGTTGGGAGACGCTCGAGAGCGACGCTGAAGCAGAGCTCGAGGGCTCGACACTGTAAAGGATGAGATGAATTAGGGTGAGATCGGATACAAGCTCGTCGGAGAAACCCAGCCGGAGAAGCTAAAAGAGTGGCTGCTACGTGGAGAGGAGTGGTTTGGCCGTGATTACGACGCGCCGCTTCGGCGATTGATTGGTTTAAAACGGTGGCAGCCTCCGGCGTGAGAGTCTGTTGAATCGTACTTAAACCAGCTCTCATCGTTCTTCTTCTACTTCCACTTTTGTGTTATCTCTCTCTCTCTTTCTTCAATTATATGTGGGAATTAAATAATTAGGGAAATAAAATGTGTAAAAATCGAATCTTTTATTAGGCTAAGAAGATGTGAAGGAAAATGAAAATAAAAATTGAATCTTTTGAGTTGGGTTCTCAATTATTCAGACAAGTTTATGAACTGGGTTCTGATCGGGAAAAAAAAAGGAAAGAATATATAAGATTTTTGCTTGAACTCAATCAAAGAATATCCCACCGGCCAAAAAAAATGAAAAGGCTTTAGATAGGTTTTATAAGAGAAGAAGGAAAAAAAGGTAGTCTTTTTTTTCTGAATTTAAGGAGAAAAAAAAAAGAATTATTATTGGGAGAAGTAGACAAATTGGGGTATCAAATGGATCACAAAAAATGGCTTTTTAGAAAGATTAAATTTAATAAAATATAATAAAAATAAAAAAGGAAGGAACTTTCGGATCCAACGAATTGAAGATAAAAAAAAAGTAAATATAGAAAGGTGGGGAAGAAGTTGCAGAGTGAAGAAAATTCAAAGAGAAAAGGTGAAGAAGAAGTGAATAATAAGTACTACTCCTACTTTACTTTTGCCCTTTTCAATTTGTATAAAAGCTGTACGCGTATCTCTGCCTCTTTATTTATATACACACATATATGCAAAAATGGGTATGTTTCATACATACGCCAAAAAATAAATAACATTTTGCGAGAGTATAATAAATGTAAATAATAATAATTGTGGATGTGTGTTAAATTGAATTTTTCTATTGGTTAGTTTCATTTATCACCTAAGTATTTAAGTTTGAGCCATCAGAAGAACAGGTTTGGTCTGGAGTACAAGCTAGCTAGACAAAGAATTAGACCATTTACTATTTTAGGGAGATTTTCTTTTTAATATGACAATCACATCATTAAAACCACTATAATTATTATATTTTGCTAAGATACTGTTGTTTAGAAAATATTTTTATATTGTTTTACATAATTTTTTAAGTAAATACTATGAAAAATATCACTTTTTCTCTTTATTCGAACCACACTATACTAATTTGAGCGGTATGCAAAATTTATTATGAAATATATTTATAAGAAATACATAACATTTTTTTTCCATTAGATTAGTTTAGATTCTTGACTAACTTTGACAACTATTTTTTATTATCTAATTTCACCATTCATAAATATAAAGTGATTTTAGTTTTTTTGGGGTCTATTTTTCTTGTTTGTTGGCTTTATTGATAAAGATAACTTGTAAACGAGTGATAACAAAAAGTCATTAACAAACATATTTGTGATACGAAAAAGATTATAGTCGTATCTCGAAGCATGGCTTTAAGTCTTTAACCAACATTTCTTGTTAAATGTCAACTTATTCAACATTTTCTCCGTGATATATACTAGAAACAAAATTCAAAAGTAAATAACAGGAAACAAGCATTTGTAGGTACCTGTGTTCATGAGAAGTCCATGGCAAAATTCAATTAACGTGAGATATCAACATAATAGTTTACACACTTTAAGAAATGTGAGCCACAAAGAAAAAGTTACACACTTAAAGAACAATTAGTAGGTGGAAGTAGATAATATAATATCATAATTGGAAAATGATATGGATTTAATAGGTTTAGAAAGATTATGGTGGTCTATGGTTTGGAATTCTTTCGATTATAAGAAAACAGCAAAGATCGCATAATTAATAGGATTAAATTTTCAAAACTTGGACTATAAACTAAAGCTTAGCAAAAATATTTACATTTTTAGCAAAAAAAAAAAAAAGTAAATCGATTTTGTAAGGAGGTAAAACAAAACTAAAGAGTCGTTATTCAAAAGATACAAAATTAAAGAGCCATTCAAAGTCAACACGCGTTTTAAAGTAGACTTGATAATATATGCGTTTACTCGAGTCATACAAATTTTTAACTATAGTGCTTAAAAGATAAAAATCTTGCTTTAGATTGACTATATGTCTATATATCACTATCACCCTTTTAACTAAGCGTTGACTTACCTTTACTTTGTTCAAAAGTAGTATGTTATAAAAAAAAAAAACTGAATTAATTACGTAGTTAACAGGCTCAGGATATAATTTTTAATTTGCTGATAACACGTTTATTTAGTAAATCCTTTATTTGCTTTTACAAAAATACATTCAGCTCTTATTAACAATGCTATCATAAATTAAAGATTAAAACGTGAAAATCATTGTTTGTTTAAGATTATTGGTAGTATTTCACTAAACCGGTAATAATGACAACGAGTTAAATGACACAACTTCATCCTTAGAATTTACTCTTTGCAAAGTGGCCAGGTGCTATAGTATCATATTCATATCTCCGCATATGGCTTATCACATTGAATTTGAATATATATAAAATAACTTTATGGCAAAAAAAAAAAACAAGAAGAAGATATATACTCAATGCATTTGTATATGAATACTAAGTTAGGATGCGAGATAGGTTATGAAACTTGCAATCGATGATTTCTCGTGTGCTCAATTAAAATAAAAAGCTGTCGTGACTTTCATTATTCTAGTACGAGAAAAGGCGTAAAAGTTAAAACTATTAACAAAATCTATCTTCTTTTGAAACCCCGAAAATAGATAAACATAATTAAGGGGACACTGATCTCAATAGTCACTTACTCACTTCTCTGGTTTTCCACAATATATATAGTTTATTTATTTATTTTGAATCTCTCTATTTAGGAGTAAATCGCGTAGAATTTCGTAACGTTGGCATATACATTTAGTTAAATATGGGATCATAATAAAACGTGTTTTACTTTTTACTTTTTTAGATGTGAGCTTCTTAATTGTTAGCCTAAAGTCGTGTATACGTAGTTTTTTTTGAATCTAATGTTAAATTATAATAAAAAAAAAATAAACGTTTTTTACATTTGAATGCAAAACTTTTCAAAACAAATTCATAGTGATCTCAATGTTGCTGTCTTGCAAACCACATCTGAAGTCCACTCGGATATTTTGCGTCCCCCATTCTCCTTATACGTAGTTGACAAAAATAAATAAGAAAAGGTCATACGTATACGTATTCAGATTCGAAAAAAATTTTAAAAAATCAAATGATCATATTCAAACTAAGCTAACAGTATACGTCGATATCGATATTATATTTACTTCCCTGTATAAGTATTATATTAATTTTATCGCTCTACACTTCTTAATTTTATAACACATTGGTATTGTATTTGATAGATGATAGATCTTACGTTATTAAGTTATCACATTGGTATTGTATTTGATAGATGATAGTTGCTTAGTTTGACAAAAAAAAAAGAAGTTATTACTAATAGTTAGAGAGAGTTTTTTTTTTTAATAAAAGTACATGTGATGGATAGTTACTTTTTGGTAAGCGTTGTTAATAATACAAAAATAAATCTACTTTTTGCTAAGCTAATAAATTAATCAAGAAACACTTTAATTAATTAATAAATACCTTAAAAGGCCACAAAAATTATGATGTCCCCTTTTTGGTAACGCATGCTCTCTCTTCCCTTTCCCTTTACGCATTTTCTTCTCCTCGATATATCTATATATTTATTTATTGTTATCTGGAGAATTTTGCAAATCTAATTATTTTTTAATCTCTTACGCATCAAAAAAAGTCTACAAAACAAAGAGAATGAATTACAGGGAATGAAAATACGGTCAATTGAAAATTAAATTAAATTTAGATTCCCTTTGTTCCTAGAAAATGATGTTTTAAGCTTTTACACAATTTTTTTTTAAAAAGTAATTCTTATATTTTCTAATTATTTTTATTAGTTTAACAGTATTAATTTCATTTTCTTCTATTTTTTATTGGTGAGATATGAAAATAATCATGATATGGATACAAAACATTAAGTTTTATGGAACAAAAAGAAGATTCAAACAAGTATTTTTTTAGGAACAAAATGAGTAAAACTTAACAATGTAACTGTTTATACATGACAAAAATCGCAGCAGCTATGATTCTAGTTTTGTAAACTTAATTAGTGTGTTAAAAGTATTTTAATCGTTATGAAAAGAAGTGAAGGATAAGATTGGTGGTGTGGGTGAAAAAGACCAACGCGTGATATTGCTTCTTCGACATTCACTTTTTTCCTAATTATTAGCATCAAATTTTAAGTTTACTTTATCTTTCTCGGTTCATTACAATGTGAAAAAGCCTTTTTGTCTCCAATTTAATTTCTCTAAATAAGATAAAAAGTCAAACAAACCTTTTATGCACGCTACAACTTTGAAAATAGGTTTTCTATATTATGGAATTTCCATACGTGTGCATATATTTTATTTTTTGCATGAAACATGTTAATTAAGTGGCATTGGTTATTTTTACAACAGAAAATTTTGGTTCTTTTGGTGTATATCTTTTTTGAAATAGAAAATGAAACATGTTCTAAGAGATATAGCTTTTTTTTTGGGTCAGATTTATCTATATGATCCTTTCGAAAGCAAATATCAGAAAGAAAATAAAGAAAGAATCTCGCTTTTCACACACGAGTTCTATTCTACTTTTGTTTTTGAAGTCAAAAACGTTGTCGGTGCGCATTGAGAAAATTAAAGAAGATGGATCAATCAAAAAAGATGAAAACTTTTACTTTCTTTAAAAAGACTTTCTTACTTTCTCACAAAGTATGAATGATAGATGAATGGAAGAATGAAATGATGAGAAAGGAAAATAGAGTAAAAAAATAATCATTTTTCTTGTTTTATAATTATTTTGACTGCTTTACACATGCACTTGTGAAAGATGTTTACACATTTTGAGCACCATCGTGTCATCTTCTAGGTCAAGCTTTTACCCAACACAACTAAACACTCAAAACAAAAGTGTTCTTTTCAATTTTTAAACCCACCTCTTTCTTTTCTAATTTCTCTCTCTTGTTATTTTCATTTATCAAGCAAGTCAATTATCCGGAAGTTGGAAATTCTACTAATGTTCATATGATTAACATGAATAAACAATTATGAAACCGGTATAAACATCAATAAACAAATATGAACAATTATATATTTGGTAGGCATCTCCAATAAGAATTTCCCACTCTCTATTAAAAAAAAAGTAAAAAAAAAGAGATTAGAAACGTCTCTGAAACGAGAGATTTTCTCAAAACTTTTGTTCCACGTAAAATTAAACTAAATATTTTAAAAATAAAAATTAAATTAAATAA